GCTACAGCTGAACGATTATTTTTTATTTAGGCTTGGGCAACCTGGCAGTATCCCAACCCTCGTGCTTCCTTTGGGTGGCACGACAGCTATGCACAGAAAGGGTGCTCCAGCTGGACGATTTTTTTATTTATCTGGTATCTGTTGGCTTCTGATAAACAGGTTGGCGGCAGTCTGGACCATGTTCTCCAGAGATTCCACATCCTGACGAAGAACCATCATTTCAACGCAGCTACTGTCGAAAAACAGTGTCGATTTTGTCCGCGATACTAGTGTAAATATAGCGCTTTCAAAATCCATCCACCAGAAGCCTCTGCAACGCAACCTAGGGGGACTGTCCGGTTCACTGCGGCTCGTGGGCTGCAACCTACAAACCAAGGATACGTTGGTTACATCTGTTGTAATCCTGGTCACCGAGAAAATGCGGAGCAGGGGAGATATTGCCAAGCGTTCGACACGACCGTATAATGAGCCGGTTCGTACACAATCAATTTAGATGGTTGAAGGAACGGGAAACTAGACCGCTATACAATGAAGGCAACATCTTTGACATATGCGATTAATGCGTGATTGAGCTGCACCCACCAGTGCCATTAGCCAGTGACGAGTCAAGTCCCTGGGTCCCCATTCAGGGAGGTGGTGGTTGTCAGCCAAATAATTAATTGTCCGCTCTTGGTCGTCCCCCCTCCCCACAGCAGAGAGCTGAACAGGAGTTCTGTGGGGAATACGGCCCAACAAATGCAATGTATGAAATTTGATTAGCTTGTCTATCCGGCAAGTCGCAGCATTGTTAACACGATGTTTCTACTGCACCTCAACAATGCTTTGGAGATACCGAGTCTCGTACGTCATCTGAGCGTACACATCATGTCTCTGCCTTGACAGGCAAACTGACAAGTCAGCGTCATGGGTCTCGAAGTTCGGCAAAGGACGCCTCGATATTTCCCATTCTCCATCTAATTCGCCGTTACTGCCTATTCAAATAAAATTAGATAAATTCACCTTCCAGTCAAAAGCTGACACTTTGGACTGGTGGTTGGGCATGAGTACTTCAAAGGTACTGTGGGATACACTGCCTGGAACATTGTTTCACAGGGTGCAACCATGCCGTGACCGCCGGCGAGCTATGCAATGCGGTAGAAAAATAATTAACCCTTGCCATGAGCTCAATGCGGATCGATGTATAGGAGGACTGAGACACCTCTGTCTCACTTCCTGCGCCCTCACTCAAATCGATGGTTGATGACGTTGGCAGAAATGGCCCGACCGCGCAGTCAGTGGCGCTCGTGCATCAAAACTATCACCTCCAGTGCGTAGCTACCCAATTTCCAAACAACATTAACATGACTCTGCCTCCAAGGCCGTATGTCCCACGCTCCCGTTTTCCAGTGATCGAAACTGTAGCAGCTGGAACCAATGTGCCTATGGTACACTGTTTATAGCTGATAAATTGATTGATTTGAATTGATCCTGGGGCTAGGCCAGTTACGTGCAGCTAAGTGGGTGAGACTCTTGAGTCATCGCCTGCGGGCACGGTCTCCGAAGAAAACCCCACTGCCCGTTGCCTCGCAGGTTGGAATAAGAGTCACAGGCTACGGGAGTGTCCTCAAACAAAACCCTACATCCTCCTGTTGCTCGTGGGTCAGATTGATTCAAAGATAAGGTCAGATACCTCACCTGAACAATCTTCCTCGATCTGGGTAATCAAGAATTATTTGTCTGCGCGGTTCTTCGCCCACCGAAGTTCCTCCCCAACTTCATCCCACCGTACACACAAACGTTGCTGAATCATTTGACAGCCAGTTGTCTTACCGATGTCTTACACTTTCCGCTGTCCATTAATACTGAAAATAATAACCGTTAAATTCGTGTAAACCTTTCTACATACAGGGTTTTGACACCCATACTCTATGTCAAATCGGCAAACTGATAGTGCTCAATGAGACCATGTAGTCCATTAAAATTGACATTTGCTTCATCTCTAAAACGCACATACGAGACCAAAGAGTGGCCATACATCTCGAAATGCCAAGGACGAACTTGGTTCTTTCGGATAAATGGGAAAAGTAGCCGCCAATTTCCGTTGATTCACAAGAGGGACTGAAAGTGATCAACCAAACAACGAGCGGTAAGTTCCCATACTATGAGCACGCGTAACAGGAGTTGGCCTATTGGTCCCACCGTACTGCCCTCTCCGAGAGAAGTGCGGCTGAATGACAGGAGTGCGAAGACAGTTGGGTGTTTCCTCCAGAGCACCAGTATATCCATTCCTATGAAAACTGCGATGCTGCCTTCTCTAAAAAAACGCATACGCCGATCACCCAACAGCTGGTTGTGATCAGTTCAACTCGGTTGTTGTTCGGCCATAAAACTAGATCGAAAGTATAGCGATTCCAGCTGCTACCGCTTCGTTCAACGAAGATAAGAGAATGACAGCCACGTGTTACGAGCGCTGACCCAATCAGCTCACGAACATTACTAGTTCGATGTTCGAGAGCTACGCAGAGAAGGCAATGGCTTTGATGAAGGACCTCCGTTAACTGCGTGACATGGTCACATCTCTCAGCGTCACTAACCATTAT